CTGCAGTTGTTATTGAGCGATTTTTCGCACAAGGCAAGATGTTTTTTGCCCGAAGTGGGAAGTATATTATGGTCTGGGCCTCTAGGCCCCATTATAATATGCGCAGGTAGCTCCATTGATATTATATTCGCTTACGACCATACCCTGCAGTTGTTATTGAGCGATTTTTCGCACAAGGCAAGATGTTTTTTGCCCGAAGTGGGAAGTATATTATGGTCTGGACCTTTAGGCCCCATTATAATATACGTGGCTAGGCAGGCAGTTGATTAGGTCATTTGTGATGAAGTTTTTGTCTATACTAATACTACTCTTTCTATTTCACTGTTTTCTTCAAGAATTGTCATAATGATCCCGGAAATAAGTCGTTATGGGAAGACCATCTCTCAAAATTGGGAACACTAGCTATCATGGACCGAGTGAATAAAGTATGTTAGACTTTGGTCTTTTTATATGTATGTCATGATGTAAATGTTTACGATTTTCTTTTAATTGGTTATTATTATTAGCGCGAAATTCGAAGCATCGCTGTACAAGAAGAAGCGGAGAGATACAAATCTGAGCAAGCGTCAAAATTTTCAAGAAGAGAGGGGACGTCAGAAAAAATATTAAAAAAACGTAAAGTTACCGCAAGTAAAAGTGAAACATCTTCCGGTGACAACAACGATGAAGATGATGAAGAAATTAAAATCGACCTAAAAAGAATTTCAGATGAATTGCTACGCGAACCGGAAGTCGAAGTATGCTACGTGATAAAATTCTGACACCTTTTTATTTCATGTATCTCAAAGTTTGCTTCCATTATTTAGTGGAAAGTAGGCTGTATTAATGTGACTGACCGATTTCGGAGGTACCAAAAAGAAATCATTAAGAAAACAGAAAAAAACGGACTAACATATGAGAATATATACGAGTTATTGTATGTATTCTAAACATTGTAGCATTCTGCTAGCATAGCAATTATATCGTGATATACAGTATATTAAGCAACTTTTTCCTCATTATATTTAGAGCTTTATCTTCAATAATAGTGCTCAGTTGGCCATGTCCATATCCCACCATGTTCACTCTTGATGAGTGGAAGGAAATTACGAGAACTAACCCCTATACGCCTCAAGATTCTCCACTCTCTCCAGAAATTTTATCATCTCTACATGATGCTTCTTTCAATCATTTTCTTGGAAAAGATGTATTCATGGAAAATGGCAAATCGAGGTTGAGTAAAATAGTCGCTCGCTCATTCAATGACATGTAAGTTATATAATTTTATAGTACATACATGAAATTATGGCTTATGTTGTTTTTTTTTTTGACATTTTGACATTATAGATATGATAGTGTTATGAAGGTCGCTCCACTCAAGATGTCCGAGGAAGAACACTGTTTAAATTTTGTTTATCCATTAGCTCGTCCATTTTTTTCAGGTGAAAAAGAGTATGAGCTAGTGTTGAACCGTGCAAATACAGGTTCAAAGAAAAGACCGGACCTCTCTTGCATTGTAAATGGCGTACCAATCTTAAATTCGGAGTTCAAACCTTAGGATGTACACCATTACAACGAGGGAAAGACAGATTAAAAGTTCAATTAAGGGCCCGAAAATCAGTCAATCAACAGTTACTAAGTAAGGGAGGCCCAGTTGAAGCTTCTATCTTCTTAAATATGGGTAAGTAATGAGCGATTATATGAAAATTTTTTCTTGATATATATCGATATTGAATTATTTCCCGATAATCAGGTGGCTTGATGGAATCGTACCTTATGGACTTGAAATACGATGGCCTATACCGCTCATGGCCATTTCTCACGACCAGACTTGTAATAGATAAAACCACAATTCCACTTGCAGGAGTCGCAATTCACCATTTGTTGGTTTTAGAGGTACTGTATATGATTCGTTTTCTTTGAGTTTAATTCAATAAATTTTGCTTAATTCATTTTCATAACTTCATTTGCCCTTTATAATGGCAGGAGCGTGTTGAGAAAATTGCCAAAGACTTTAAATATCGAAAATCCCGTAGTGGGAAAACTACACCACTTCAACAATTATTCATTTATACGTACACTACCAGATTCCCCACAAGTGAAGAAACTAATTCATTAGGACAAAAAAGTTTTTTTTTACTTCGTGTTGGCTCTCTCCAAATTTCTGATAAGCATTGTCTGGCCTCTTTTTTGTTTTGTTTCCTGTTTTTCTCTTTCTTTCTTAGAGGGGTTGGCATGTTTTCTAATAGTTCTTTCACCTACTTCGTAAATATCGGCTAATTCTTTTCAAGTTAGTTTGGATTCTTTATTTGTGCTGATTTACTGTATTACTGCGCTTGATTATAACAATATGATTAATAATATGCGTGTCTCTGTGATATATTTTGTATTGCTTCACGTTTCTACTGGCATATCATTACGCCAATCTGCATCCCTAATTTACATTTGCAGTTGACCGGACTGTGATGTTAGAATGAAATAAAATGGATATCAAGGGTAACTATTATGATTTTTTGCAGTTCTATTGGCCCAACAAATAAGCAATATACTTTAGGATGATTGGAATCAGTTGATTGGGTGATTTAGCCGTTATATTGAATCATGATGTCTTTATTAATCACGAGGGACCAACAAACCAAAAAAATTAGCTTAGTTGAGATATGACCCTATATAAATCCCCGATATGCTTGTAATCAAATAAAAATGAATCCGATATTTTATTATAATATACTTGTTACAAACCGCTATAAGTCTTTAAAATCGTTAAAAACGCTATAAATCTATAAAAATGGTGAAACTCTACACCCTTAGAATGACTAAATCTAACAACTATTCCGGTTTAAATCCTGTAGTAGTGCAGGCGTTAAACAATCTGCAATATAGGTATAGTGGTAAAACACCAGAAATGTGGTGTTCTCGTATTCATTATCCATTTAAGAAACTTCTCAAATATAACCCAAAATACTTCTCGAAGAATGGGTTTATCCAGATGATTGAAAGATCATATATAGATAGGGAATTTAAAGCTGGAAGACGCTCATTTAATATTTATTGCACTATATGTGACTCCTTGGTGTTTATCCGTGAAAATACCATTGAATGTGCGAGCGATCACCTTAATAAATGTATTGCTAGAACGGCCAAAAAGAATCTTGCATATTCTATTTATACATGAAAGAATGTGAAAAAGGGAGGAGCGTTAATCCGAAAGAGTGTATCATCGCTTAGTTCTGTTAAAGTTGATGAGATTTATCTAACATATTGTTTTATATTTAAAAAAGGCTTGAAAAATTATACTTATGAACATTTAAATGAAATTAAGGAAAGGATTGTAAATCGCTTAATTAATAATGTAAGAGTTATTCAACAGGCTTAGAGGAGTTACAAGAAGAGACTTGCATCATTCGCATCTCAAATTTGAAATGCGCTGAAAAATGATGATACTACTGATGAGGAGAAGTTTTTAGATGGTG